TACCTCACAGTTTCTCTACAGCAGTGAGGTTTAGCTCATGATTTGATCATGAAGATACTTCCTGTAATATTGGATTTCTATTTCAGAGTTTGCTTCTGTCAATCAGTCGTATTCTTGTAATGTGAAGACTCGATAGTCTATGAGCAGATAATCTGATCGTGTTTGGCAACAATCCACCAAAATCAAGTTTGGATCCAGTACCAAAACCTTGGATTTGGTCATTTGTTGGCACCTGACAATATTAGAGTGAAAACAGACATAATGTGGGGAAATTATTCATCCAGTTTACTTGCTGTAGTCTCGTTTCAGCTTCGTTCTCCCTGTTCCCAGTCACTCTCACTGGGAGAGCACCTCAGATGTCTCCACAGACAGACAGGAGATGCTCATCAAACTGGCAACAGCACAGATGTAAATAAAAGGTTTTCCACACCAGCCATGATGAGAATGAAAGGGCGTTCCTGTAACGTGAACTCACTCTGACTTTGTGGCAAAGTTAAAAACACGCTAAGAAAAGCTGCTGAATTCAGAGGTAGAAAACCAAAGACTGTTAGCTTACTCCAGCTTACACTGCTACCATCGACGGTATGAGATGATCGCATTTTGAAGCTTCACCATCAGCGTTTCAGCTATGAAGGGTTTTTGGAGGAAGAAGGTGAAGGGCTGGAGTCGTAATGTAACAGCTGACACTAGCTGCACAGGCTTTTAAAGTGATCCGCATGTCTAGAACTGCGCAGCTTGTTTAATAACATCAAAGTAGTTTGATCACATGTAGAGAGATAAATATAATAAGTACATTTACATTCACACGAGGTCTTTCTTTATTCCTTCTTTATTCTTTATTCTTTATTTCTTTATTTATGATGCCAACACATGCTGACTCACTGGGTTTCTCCTATTGTGTGACTGGTTTTCTATTCAGAGGAATATTTTCATTAAGGGAGGAAGTAAACCCGGCTCATGTGAAAGGTCAAAGGTCTCATCTTACACATTAAAGGACAAACACACACAAACTGAGAAGAAATAATAAAGGTGACGGGGCTCTAAGTCAGCTGACAACACAAAAACTTACACTGACCACCCCCACAACACCGCCCGCCACTTTCTCACACACGAGGCAGGGTGTGAATCCATGTCTCATTACCCATAATGCACTACAGCCCAGGCTGTCAGCAGAGTCTCTGCAGACAGGGATCATGGGAGATCTGCAAAAGGTCAAGGCTGAGCTATGACACACACACAGTATCAGATGTGTTGATAATACCTTCTTCCTTTTTGTCCCTCTTTAATTGATCTTCATCCCGTCTCCCACTCATCCTCTTTACTTTCTCCCTCCCTCGGTTTCTAATGTCCCTTTGGCTTCTTTGCCCCCCCTCCCCCTCCCTCATTTTCCTGTCCTTAGATGCTTCACTTCCTGCATTTGTCTCAGCTAAAAACAATAGATACTTTTGGCTTCTATTTAGGCCGTTATCTAGAAAACAAAACAAGATGCATGTACAGCACGATAGATGATTTTACTACTATTAAAACTATTACTGCCATTTATTTTTATCCATTTATTTGTAATAAATAAGTCTTCCTCCCAGGTGTAAGCACGGCTCTCTGCTGTGCTGCTGTTGTCGGGTCAGAGGATGAGATGAGCTGGCAGAGGAAATAAAATGAGTGTTTGCGTCGTGTCTAACAAAGAGCAGGAGGTCTTACGCTGAGCTGACACTGATCTGATTCAGACAACCGTGAGTGGCTCCCGTCCACTCGAGACCCGACTCCGTGTCCTTTGAAAGGGCAGCACTGATGCAAACACACACATACATATTCATGCGCGCCATGTCGCAGCCATTAAAATGCACAAGGACACCACCTGATATCATGCTGATGTGTGTCTGAGTCACTGAACATGATGTCAGTAAATGTTTTGTTCCTGTAAGTTTAAAAGTACGTTTTCATACGGCTGAATTATTTCGTTAGCTTTCCAAACTTTCACTGAATACTGAACGAGCTCTGCTGAATCCTGATTTCCATATATTGATTATTATGACGAGGTCATCACATATTTGAGACCTCTGCATGGAAATCTCAGGAATTATTTACTTATTAATTATTCATCATTTAAACATTCACACTGGGCAACTTTTTCTGTCTGCAGGGTTAATGTTTCTAAAGGAGAATATTTTGGCACAAACAACAAACCGCACTAAATAATGAAATTAAATAAAATCCAGTTTGGTGCCAAACTCAAACACGAGAAACTCTGATGCTAAAAAGCAGAAGAGGAGGAACTTTATTAATTTTTATTGCATTCAAGAGCAGAGATGTGCACCATGACTGAATAAACACAGCACCACCTACAAACACCACCCTGTGGTGTGCAGAAAGAACAAATCCAGTGCAAACAAATTCCCAACATCTGCTCTCAGGGTGATTTAATCGGGGCTGTTTCCACTTGACATTTTGCTTCAGGGAGTCCTTTGTGCTGTAAAGGATTTATTTACATCCGTGATGGACGAGTCAAAAGTCAACGCGCTGTTGTTTCCAGTCACCATCACCGCGCTAGCATCAGGTGCCGCCTGAGAGAGTGGTGTCAACTCGGTAATACGAGTGCACTTCACAGCACGATCAAAATGCTATTAATATTGTAATTAGATTTCTGTTAATTAAACATTACAGGGCGTGTGCAGCATGGGGAGATTGATCTACCCTTATTTTACACCGTTAACCATCTTCAGGAGCAAAATTACAGTTTTACTTTACTTCAGCTTCTCTGAAACATCTGTTTGCACGTGATCAAATCTTCTGGTCGAGGCTTTCAAATGAACAAGTTCAACGCCATATTTTCTCTATTATATTTACCTCTACTGCACCTCGTTTCCCTGACACGAGGAAGAAGTCCACATTTTTCAAGTTCCACTTGGAAACACAAAGATAATTAAGGTGACAGCTCGGTTCTGTGTGGTCTGACTGACTCTGATGAGCTTTCTGGAGGAAGTAACCAATTAAATCGGAGCTAGTCTTACAGCTGATTAATGTGAAGGTGTTCGTCACCATCTGAGCTCGTCACCTGCTTCCCAGCGCTGCGACGGGCGCTAAAGTGATTTCACTGATGTTAATTTGCAGTGGAGACACTGTTGTGACATGATGTTCAGGCGTGGGAGGTTAGACCACGCACATCAGAGCACCGAGGTCCATTTCTCACAGCAATGAGCTGATGCATCCCAAAGTTATGATGGACGATGTGACAGTGCGGACAGAAACGTTCACACCATAAAACTTTATTTATAAAGCACAACAACAGGGCTGAAGCGCTGCACGGTCACAGCGCAGAGCGTAAAAGATGAAAGACATGTGTTTCATCTTTTACGCTCTGGCCTGCGAGACTTAAAAACAACTAAAAGGATTTTAAAATGTTCGTAAACCATCTGCTAAACTTGCGCTCCTACTGTGACTGAGCAATGGAGGCTCGGCTAACTCGGCTACAAAGCAAGCTGCAGCAATCGAGACGAGGCTTGATTTTTGCCAGCAGCCACAGCTGGAACAAAATCAGGATTTTACCCGTGCTTACATGTACTGTTGGATCATTTTCATATCTAAATTTGTCTGATATGAGTCTGTGGAGGTAAACTTAGTAGAAACTCTTTGCATTGCTTATGCATTTTTATTCTATCGAGCTTCTACTGAATCTGCTTTGTCCTGTTGTCTCAGTGTCACAGTTTGGATCCTCATCTGTAAAGAGCAGAAACTCATTCAGTCAAATTGATAGATGCTGAACCCAATCAGCTGATCGGACAGCTTAACCCAACATCTCTGTTCATTGCACGACTACAGCAGATATTTGGTTTCACTTCAGGACTTCATCACTGTTTGCCAACTCCGCTGAGATTTGGTTTCTTCCATCTGGACAAAAGCTTTTAAGTCCCAAAGTGCTGAGCGGTTCGGAGTATAACAACAGCTTTGTTCCAGCAGCCACCACTCAGATGAACAAATCACAGCTTTTATATATCTTACATGATGTGGAAGCAATTTTCCCCAGCGCTGTGTTGTAATACACTTATCTGTTGTTTGTGTCGCTTTGAAAAATGTGCATTTGAGGATGGATGACTTACCTGCTGCAAACCAGATCTACCTGTGGGTGCAAATAAAGGAAAGCGAAGCTGAACTTGAGATATTTTCAGAAAGAAAGTGTCGAAATGAACACCGGCTGCAACAAATGCATCATCGCCATCATCCTCGAACGGCAATACCAACATAAGCACCACGCTTTCATCCTCTTTCGTGTCTGCGACGGCGTCACCTTCCCCCCCACGCACATATTAATACCCCTTAATCATCGTCATCCTCATCACTGCAGGGATCCTCATCCTCGACACTCACATTATAATCAGCACCATCGTAACATTCATCAGCATCATTATCAATACCAGTTATATCCATTATCGTCACAACAGTCGGCTCATCACCAGCATCAACGTCATTAACTGCAGCAAAACAATCAGCATCCTCCAGTCTAAGCTTCATCATCCACATCGTCACGGCCTTTTCTGCAGCCACGAGTGTACACATAAACAAATGTGTTCACAGCCACACCAGCTCCTCTCAAAGCTGAGAGGCCGTCTGTGCAGCTGGGCTCAGTGCTTCCCCCTAGCTTCCTCTGCAGGGAAAACAGCGAGGGAGAGAGAGAAGACGGAGAGAATGAATCTCAGAGGAAATCCTGAGAAACAGGAAAGAAGAGGCAAAGGACGGGCTGTGTGGAGCTGCATGAAAGACAAACAGCGTCCTCTGAGAGCTCTGGGAGAGCGGCTGCAGCTGCCGTGATTTAAACAGCATTTAGGAGGTTGATACCTGGGTCATTAGCTGTGAGGATACCTCAGCGAGAGGCGGCACCCGCACAATCTAAAGATTAACAGTCCAAGGCAGGAGTGTAAGAAGCAAGGAAGCTGCAGAAAGCACTGTGGTCGAAAATCATCTGACACTCCCGCCATCACGTGACGTAAACGCAGCAGCGGCCTTACCTTCCTGCACCGCCTGGAAAGGGTTGTTGGGCGCGATGAGTTTAATCGAGTGTGTGATCTTCTCACTCTGCAGGATGTCGTCGTTCAGACTGAGGTCAGACACGGCGAGCTGGAACACCTGATCATCCTGCACTGCGTTCTCCTCAAATATCGCACCTGGACAGGTAGAAACAGGGAGTGTAAACAGGTTAAGGACTCAAACACTGCTCTACTGAAAATA